TTCGTATTTTTTACCCGTTGATAAGTGTGGAGCTTCTTAGTTTGAGTGCGGTAAGACATTTCAAATAAAATATAGCTAATTAGATCTGGTAAAACGTTTCTTTCGTCTTTTAATGAGCACACACAAGAGTCTGAATGGGAATCAATCGTTGTGATAATTTTTGTATTGAAATTTTATCTCGTTTCATCTCTCCGAGCTCTCGCCGATCCACTGCATCGTCAGGCATCATCGACAGTGTTTTTATCTCTTGCAGCGATTAAATTTCATTGTCTTTCTGCGCGTAAACTTTTTGCCTTAATTCCCCCTTCCTCTACTCTGAATGTTTCAGAGATAAGGGTATCAAATAGTTTCAGTGTGTAAAACAGTACTTATTTTTAAATCTTTACACCCTTACATCAGTATGCATATTCCCCATAATTTTCTACAAACGTTTCCTTAGGTGCTAGCGCTGACGAGGAGAGTTTGTCCTAATATTAAGAGCCTCTTTATTTTACCTTTCAGATATTAAAGACCCATATATTTGTAAAAACAAAATTAAAAAAATCAAAGACTGCTAGACCTCTGCCATTTTCCCCACCTAAAAACAAAATTGTCCAAGGAATATACTTAAAACTATGCAACGTGTGGACTGAAGAACAAGGAACTGAGCCACATGACCTATTACTATTTTTTTCCCATATTTAATTCTATTCTTTATTTATTTTGTGATAACCTATCAGTTTTTAGGAACCATCAAAGTTTTAAAAACAAAACAAGAATACTGGACCTCTGCCATTTTCCCCATCTAAAGGCAGAATTGTCCAAGCCATTTGCATGAAACTATGGGACGTGTGTACTGAAGAACATGGAATTGGGCCTCTTGACCCCTTGAACTCTGTTTTCCTAATTTTATCCTCTTCTTTCCATGGAATAAGCAATTTTCGGCAGGGTCCTTTAAAGACTGAGCATATGGAGTACAACTTTTAAAGTTGGCAAACAAAGGCAATTTCATTCTCTTCAGCGAGTGTCCAACATGGCTTTTTGTTTAGATAGTTTCCATTTTTATATGATGTCTTTCTTAAAGATGCAAAAGCGAGAATCACTCTCTTTATAGCCAGTTCATGGGGAGCCTTGCATGCTGTATATTGACTGGGAGGGACTGCGGAGACCAACTAACTCATTGATTCTTTGATTTTCAATTTGTCCTTGGCAACAGATGTGCTTGGTGTCCTACTATTCAGGGAAGAAATGCTATCCTCTGCATGGCCTGAGCAGAAGTAGCACCAACCATGCATCCTAGGTGCCCCTAAACATGAAAGTAAATGTAAGGTCAAAGTAAAAACATGAATTTCAGAAAAATTATATAATCACACAGTTGTAAACAAAGGACATCTGGTTGCAGACTCAATTGCTACACCTTTGAGGGTTTAAGTTACAAATAAATAAAAATGCTACATAGTTTCCATGAATACAAAGTTTAAAAGCTTGAAAGCCAAAAGATACACTCAACAATCATCAAAACCTATGCATCCTTGCAAAAATAGGGTCAATTACCCCTACACCTCCTCCTATACATTCATACTTGCAGGAAATCATTCATTTTTGGGACTACTGATGCCACTGTACTTACAATGGTAGTTCAATGCCAAACACAATAACATTTTCTTTCAGTTATCTCATGGTATGTGACTGCACAGGTCATATGGAAGGTACATTCCTGTATAAGGACTGACATTTGAATTACTATAAAAAACTGTAATCATCAGAATTACAGGCCAAGACTATAAACAAATGCTTAAGTTTCCTAAGTCACCTTTGCCAAAGTCAAGGTCACTCCACCTCAGGGCAATCTTCAGCTGGATCATCCTGTTACATGTGGAAACAACAACTATTACTCATATTCAAATTTATTGAATCAGAATTTATTACTCTTTTTGTAACTCGGGTTTCTTTTATTTGTGCCCCAGAAACAGAGAATGATGTTGAAGAAAATGGAACAAAGTTATTGAAACTTATTCTGTATTAAAGAAATTTAATAATGGGTGTTGCAACAACAAAAACCTGCAGTTGATTAAAAAAAGACTCAATGTGTTTTTCCTGTTATCATTCTACTTGCAAATATCACAAACCAATCATCAAACCAAACCTCATCAAATTTGATCAATATAATACCCACTTCAGTATGATATTTTTTATGTTGTTTACTTTTTGCTTTATACCATGATATTTAAAAGCCCTCAGGGTATACAGCTAGTTTGCAGTGAAGCAGTTAGTCTAAATTGGTGTTTAATAAAATAAAACAAAAGCTTTAAGCTGTGGTCTGGACCTTAATATAACAATTGGCTTGAAAAAAAATATATATAAAACTTCTAAATTGTTTAATCGGTACCTACCTTCGGGAAATTTGCAAATCAGTTGCAACTCATTTACTTGTCTTGCTGCTACGAATTCTTCTTGAACACCTCATCCACTTCTCTTGTGCAGCCAAGCATCGAATCTCTATTAGTAAGAAGTCTAACTTTCGGCATTATCGCATCGATGGCTGAACGATATATACGAAAAGAAAAAGCTCGAAGGCAAAATGATCGAGCGTGCACTGATTCTAAGAATAACTTTTGGCTTATAACTGCTCTAAACAGGGTCTCATGATACATATGACAACAAACGATGTCTCTGTTGATCTCACACTCTTCTAATGACTTTTTAGATTGCTTTTCCAAATTCCATCCCTCAAAAGTGAGAGTACGAAAGGGGCCCATAAGAAGGACCGCTGTATATTTGTTTTTGTTAGCTCGCAAATTGACCAATCACATCCACTCGTTTGGTTAATTCAAATCGAGTGGATGTGATTGGTCCAAGATTTCTAATGTACAGGATGTGATTGGCTGCCACTCAGCATGTTCCTCCGACCATTCGGAGTGGATAAATCTGAAAATTCTAAATTGTTTAAGCTTATCGGTAGCTCATTCACTTATCCTGTTACTCCGAATTATTCTTGAACATCTCATCCGCCTCTCTTGTGTAGCTAAGCATCGAATATCAATAGGTAAGAAGTCAAACCTTCGGCATTCTCGCGATCGATGGTTGAAAGATATAAAAAGAAAGAAAGATCTCAAAGGCAAAACGATCGAACGTGTACACCTCTCCCAGGAATATCTTTTGGTAGCAAAAATTTCTCTAACGGATTGTTATAAACGATATAAGAAAGCGCGACGGTTTTTTTTTTATCTCACACTCATTCAATGACTTTTTATCGCTTTTCA